TGATGATGATGATGATGATGATGATGATGATGATGATGATGATGATGGGTTTGGGGTTGGAACGGGAGGCAGCCATAGTCTCTGAAAGCTCTGCCTTTAGCAAACAGTAGATGGAGAGCTGGCACTGGTGCCCTCGCTGCCCTGCCCAGGAGGCAGACAGGGTGGAAAGTGAGCAGCAAGAAGCCACCCTGAGAGCCGGCCTAGTGCTGCACTTCGGCCCTCGGGAGACAGAGGCAGGTGGCTTGTGAGTTCAAGGCCAGCCTGCTCTACAAAGGGAGCTCCAGGACAGCCAAGGCTACACACAGAAACCCTGTCATGAAAAACCAAAAAGGAGGAGGAGGAAGGGAAAGCAGCAGCAGCAGCAGCAGCAGCTACTCTGGAAGCCTGGCGCAGGTCACATACCCTTAATCTCCCCGTGCTCAGTACGCAGAGCCAGGCAAATCCGAGTTCAAAGCCTGTCTGTCGAATAGAGTGAGTCCCAAGTCAGACAGTTACACAGCAAGACCCCATCCAAAACAACAGCCAAAGCCAGGGAAGCTGAGGTCCTGGAGCTTAGTTTGTTCAGCCAAGGGACCCTCTATGTCCCCAACCTTGGGACCCAAGAGCTCCCCGCTCCTAGACAGCCATAGAGACTGGTTCCCCACTCCCTCCTAGAAGATGCCGAGGGAGAGGAGCCTTGGGTATCTGATGGGAGGGAGAGGGGAGGGATGGAGAGGGTTGCACACCATGTGAACTCTGGGCCGCCCCGCCCAGGGCCGCGGTCCACCTGAGACCAAGCTCATATCCCATTGCTCCAGTGGACACTAGCCGTCCGCCCGTCTCTCACCCTGCACACCCAGGCTCCAGCGAGGCAAAGTCAGCTGAGATGCTCCCAGCTCTGGGGGCTCCGGGCCCTGCTGCTCTGGACACCAAGTGAGCCAGGCCTGACACCCAGGCACCTGGAGAGCCAGGCCATGGAGAGAAAGTCTCTATAAGAATAGCTGGGGGGTGGGGGAGAGAAACTGAGCAAAAAGGCCGGGTCCCTGGGCGAGAACACACCTTATCCTAGCCCCTGACCAGGGCTAGGCCTGCACTGTTTCCAGAGTAGGTTGAAGATTCACTCGAAGACCCAGGAAGGGGCACATGTTCCCTCCGAAACTGTCAAAAATAAGCAAGGGCCCTGAGGGCGGAGGCCCAGCTGTTTCAGAAAGCTGAGTCTCCATTTGTCTGTCCTTCTGTCTCTCCGATTCCATGAACCCAGTCATGCTTTCACGTTCAGCTAAGGGCTGTTTCTCTGGGTGACTTCCCTAACAAAAGCTGGCTCTCCTGGCCTGCCCCTGGGTGTGTCTCAGGGTCTGTGAGGTCACACGTTCTGTCCTCAGATGCTGTTTACCTTCTGGTGTTCCTTGCCACTCAGCCTTGGTGTGGTCATCTGTTACAAAGCCCTCTTTACCTTAGGAAAACTGGCAGGGAAGCGGTTGTCATAGAAATGGCTTCTGGGCCCAGATCCTCACTAGGCAGCTCCAGCAGCTGACAGGAGCCGGAAAGAGGACTCCACACCACCTGGGGTTGGGTTCTTGGCATCCACCTGGTAGCTCACAGTGCCTACGACTCCATGTCCTCTGTCTTTCACAGACACTGGTCATCCTGTGCTCAGACAGACCTATAATAAAACATCCACACACAAACGTTTTACAAATCACTGAAAAGAAGCCAGGCACACGTCTGTGATTCCAGCACTCAGGGAGGCAGAGGCAGGCAGATCTGTGTGAGTTGGAGGACGGCGTGGTCTACAAAGGAAGTCCAGGACAGCCAAGGCTACACAGAGAAACCCTGTCTCGAAAAGAGAAAAGAAATTACTAAAAAGAAACAGGGCTCTAGACAACACCCCAAAGACTGTGGACTGTGCGTCCACAGTCCCCTTCAATCATCCCAGGGCTGTGCCCCCTCCAGGCTCGTCAAAAGGCCCTGACCTCCAGGGTGGCTCCCTGTCTCCCATTGCAAGAGGAACTCAGCCTCTGCAGCTTCATCCCGCAGCGGGCCAGGTGAGAGCGTGCCCTGTGCACTCTTCAAGGACTCCGCTTTCCGCCACTCTGTGCTCCTTTGTCACACTGACACTCGAATCTTGCATCGGTGGGTGCCAGGCACTTCCCGAGTCCTCCCACCCTTTCAGTTCCATTCTCGTGCTCAGGCATCTTTCTTCTTTCCCTGTTGCTTTTCCCCTCAGTCCTAGGATGCGGTGATTCTTAGGGAGTCCTGACAGCAGGTGGAGCCTGGACGGCAGGGTCCAGCCTCAAACACCAGACAATCGGATGCTAGGGCAGGGAGTGTCTCCTGTAGCTCAACGTGACTTATAAAAGAAAAGCTCTCGAGCCTGCAGCCTTCCTGGGGAAAAGGAAAGCTGCGAGCTGGCAGCCAGCCCTTCGTCCCTGGGCCTGACACGAGGACAAACTTGCGGCACCACCGCCACCTGGGGATGCAGCATCAACCTCTGAGTGGCCGCTGGCGCTGCCTCCAAACCCCTGTGCCATGCCAGTCCCCTTCGGAGCTGCTGGGGGCCGACGGTGCAGCCTTCCGATGTGCGCCCGCCGTGGCGCGCCGAGGCTGTGGGTGCAGAGACCAGGCGCACCGACCGCAGCCAAGCTCAGCGGGGCAGCCACGAAGGTGACGTGGGGCCTGGTCACTCCTCTGAGCAAGTCTGTCCCGCTTCTTTCTCCCCACGAGGCTCTGACACCAAGCCCCCGCCCGCCCGCCCGCCCGTCAGTTTTCCCTCTGAACCTGCCCTGAAACTGGGGGTGGTGACGCCTGTCTGTCATCCCAGAGCAGGGAGATTGGGGCAGGAGGGTCGGTTCTGGGGCAGCCTGGTCTACTCAGGTCAGATAGGGCTACAGAACAGAGCGAGAACTGCTCTGATTAAAAAAACAAAACAAAACAAAACAAAACAAAAACTAAACATGTTATACCGGCTGAGTCCTCACTTCTCTTCCACAAACCTTTGTCGCCATCTTTTGGCGAAACGTGGGACTTTCGCTCTAGCCCGCCTTCCGCCCTGTGCTTGGGATAGAACCCAGTCCTCGCCACCCGACTAGCATACCTCCCTCCTCTGTTCTTTCTGCCTGTCTGTCCGTCTGTCTGTCTATATCTATCCATCCATCCACCCACCCATCCCATCCATCACAGGGACTCACTATGCAGTCCTGGCTAGCCTGGAACTCCCTCAGTAGACCAGGATGGCCTGAGACTCACAGTGATCCAGAGTTCAAGGTGTGTCCCGGCACAGCCAGCTTATCTTGAGACAACTTTACACTCAATCATCCAGGCGCGCTTTGAGCTCAGTCAAGCCTTGAACTTGTAATCCCCTGAGCTGGAATGACAGGCTCAGTCTGGCTTCCAGTCTTAACCCTTTATCCTCCAGTGTAAAGACTTTCCACAACATCTGATCACATCGCCCCTCTGCTGAAGTCCTGCTTCACTGGTGCACGGCCCTGGTCCCTGACACGCTCCCCCATTGCTCAGGTCCCTGACACTCTCCCCGCATCGCTCAGGTCCCTGACACTCCCCCCCCCCCCACGCTCAGGTCCCTGACACTCTCCCCCCATCAGGTCCCTGACACTCCC